CTTACACACAATACAAGTTAGTCCAAGAGAACAGCAGTCTCCCGCGTCAGCTGCTTCGAAAAAAGACATGGGATCAAATTCAGATCGTCGATCTATCCATATCACCCCCTTGGCCAGCACCATAATTACAAACGCAACATTAGTAATTCCATCCTCGTCTACAATCACGACAGAAAAAAGTAAATTGTATATCGAAGTTTAGTTTATGAACTTTTACATTTCCATCTCTCTTTTTTTCTCTCTCTAGCTCTCGTACAAATAATGGCTACAGCAATGTTTTAGAACTGAATGATAATGGAAGCGATTCAGACGACCATGCCGAACTGGAATTACAGCAAGAACATCAAGAACCATTTTCTTTTTTATCAAAAACAAGTGTTATCAAATCGGCAAAACGAAGGAAAGTAACATTGGAAAAGAACGGGTCGAAACGTCCGCGAACTACATTCGAAAATGACAGCGACGCTGATAAAAACGAAGATCAACACCTTGATCTGCAGCTGATGGTTTATTACTTGAAACAATTAAGTCAAAATCATGTCAATTTAGAAAAACAGCTAAAACAAATCATCACAAATCAAAAACGTGATCAAGAAATGCTAAAATTTTTTCGAAAACCAGAAAAGAATACAAAAAGCATTATTGAGACGAAAGGTATGTAGAAAAGGTCAAAATATAAGCATTAAGAAGTGTTCTGTACGGGCAGGGAGAAATTTATGCAATGCGTCTGCGTTAAAATGTCTGGCAGGCAAAGCAAGAAGCATCTGTGATCTTTTTTTCTTTTAGATTCCTGTTCAAATTGATGAACCATTCGATGATGAACCAAAAGCAGCAAACTTACCATTTTCAAAGACAGTCGTAAGACACCATTTCTGATGTTTAACCTTGCACGATCTTTCACTTATTGTTTTCTTTCCTTTTCTCTTCAGATGTTTAAAAGAAGCGATGGAAAAGAAATTGATCTATTAGCGATTACAGCTACTGATATGACAAAACCAACTTTATATGTGACAACAATGATGAATTCAGTGTTTATTGATTACGATGATCTGCAAGGCTTGGATCAATACAATGCTGATAATGATGAACGAGTCATAATCATGCGAGGTAAGATAAATTTACTCCCCCAACGAGCCACACACTTTAGCTACCTTTTCACGGGGAGTTTATCTATGTAAGAATATCAATCTCGCACTGTAACCCCTTGCGAGATTTGGTCCTGCTAAAAACGATTTTCGTCCGGAGCCTTTTTTCTTCCTTACTTTTAACGTAAGAAACCAAATCCTCTCCTATTCCCTACTCTTAATGGTTAATTCAAGAGTGAACGCTCTTTTTTTTCTATTTTTAGAAGCGGTTCGAACAAAATTCAGATATGATGATGAAACAATGAACATGCACTGGACAGCAATACATGATTCTATATTGAGCAAGCGTAGAAGACCAAAACCC